CAATGAGCTTACATACCAGCTCATTGTTCATATCTCTTATTGTCAAATAATGTAGCCTATATATTTCAAAAAACAGTTTAGGCAAATTGTTTTACAAGTCATTGTAAACTTTGTCTATTCTATCATATTTGGATGGCAAAGACGCGCGACAAGTTCATCTTCTACATTAATTACAATTTCTTTACTGAAAATAAGATAATGTGACACTGTCCTTGTTATAGATACACGTAAAGTTACTGGCTACTATGGAATAATGAAGAATTACGTATCGGTCAATATACTAATCAAATCTTTTCCTCATAGTACCATTATATTTCTATAAATAAAATAAATATACACATTGTGTATGTACAACTGTAATGATAAACAAAAACGTGTTCCAATGATTTTACTATTTTGCTTGCCGATAACTCCAAGAAATGGAGTTACACTCCAAGAATCTCTTGTATTAACTAGTAACTCTATTAATGGCAGACATCGCTATAATAAATGAAATTTAATACAGAATTTGTTTAAAAATTTTTATGAGTTAATCTAGGCATTCACAGCTGGACCTAGCCTCGTGTGTGGTAGTGGATTAAATGGAGTAATATTGCGAATTTCGTTCTCTAAGCAATTGGAATAAATATCGGCAGTAAGTTCGTTCAATGGAATTTCGGTATCCGCTTTCGCAGCTTTTACAGCGTCGTCTACAACTTTTCGAATTTCGTTCTCCATCGCCTGGACAAAAAGAATTTTAAACAAATACATTCTTAGTATGTAGATTGATCAAGACGAATTTCGTACCTTTATTTCCTCTGCAGTAACGAGATTGGCATTCAATAATCGTTCTTTAAAACCAGTTATAGGATCTCTAGTCTGCCTCACTTCCTGGATTTCTTCTCTCGTACGATAACTTGTTCCAGGATCGGACATACTGTGTCCACTATATCTATAAGTCACAGTTTCTAAAACAAGAGGTCCTTTGCCAGACGTACAATAATCAATGGCAAATCTGGTAGCTTCTCTAACTGCTAGCACATCCATACCATCCACCTAATAAAATATTTCAGTATGATTATATCAAATAAACACGTTAATAGTAGTAAATGCGTTTTGTTTAAAAACAAACCCAAATTCCAGGAACGTAATCTCCTCTTGTATAATATTCGGTACTTGCAGAAGCACGATCGATGCTAGTACCCATACCATACCCATTGTTCTCACAAACAAAGATACAAGGAACATCCCACAATTTGGCCATGTTGTATACTTCAAACACTTGTCCTTGATTGGCTGCACCATCTCCATATAATGTGATACACACTCCTCCAGTGTTCATATATTTCTGAGCAAAAGCAATACCTACTCCCAATGGTACCTAGAAACTTGTTTTATGACAATAATGTATGTATAGCTGATTCAACAGTTTTAATAACTGATACTCACTTGGGCACCAACAATACCATTTCCACCGTAAAAGTTTTTGGTGTACATATGCATAGAACCACCTTTACCTTTTGCATTTCCTCCTTTTCTACCAGTTAATTCAGCTAAAACGCCAAATGGTTCTATTCCCATTAAATAGGTCCACCCATGAGCTCTATAAGCTGTAATCACAGAATCTTGTGACCGCAGAGCTGCTTTTATACCAACTGCACAGGCTTCCTATCAGAAGAATAAAAAGATTTTATTAATGAAGATTCTCATTGAATAAACTTTAAAAAATGTAACATGATTCTTACTTGACCCGAATACAAATGGCAGAAACCTCTGACAATTTTTTCTTTGTAAAGATTTCCAGCAGCCGTTTCCATACGACGGATTGTATGTAGTTTTTTATAGAGATCTAACGCTTCATCTCTAGTAACAGAGACTTGAGTGGACGGTCCGCTGTCCAATTTGTGTAATCTGAAGGGTTTTGTTTCGAATGAAGCTTCTGTGGCATAATTGTTTTTCTTGTTGAAGAAGTACGATACCACCTACAAATACACAGTAAAGATCAATATACAATATCTGTACTTATTATAACTTATTGTAACAAGAATATGCAAAAGGAATGCAATAATAGCGCAAAAAGGTATGTAACATAAAGTTAGTTTTCACTTGTGAATTTAAAAAGAAAAATTGTGTTCACAAAACTGTATAAAATACAGAAAGTGCACGACTCTATTGTAATTTTATACTTACCTATGTTCTGATTGACCACGTACTTATAAAAAAGAAAAAGAACAAACGAAAAAAAGCAGAAGAGACCGAAAACGAGGTGGTATAAAAGAAAAGAAACAAACTGTGATTTATTGGTGATAAACGCATGAATAAAGTCTATATGAATAATTACCTCGTTCCAGCTGCCGAACTGGCAAGACACCAGGAGGAGATATAAAAAAAGAAAAGAACGAACGTTCAATTGCAAGACTCTCGAGCAGAGTTCGTACGATTAGAAATTATAACAAGACCCTGGCATGGAACGTGTTGGCAAGTATCTAGTTTAGAGGTCATTTGTCGTTCGATCGTATACTCACGTTTCTCTTCGACGTTTGAGCACCTATATTTCTTATACAGTTCGGTATCATTCTCAGATGATTTGTTAACTGGTCGTCCAGTCGAATTCGAGGAGTTCAATGAGAACACGGGATTAATACACAATGTAAATCGAACAGGGACGAATCATTCGTATGGCGCGGACAGTATCGTAAGATTTGGTTCGTAAACGTCACAGGTTAATTTGTATCCCCTCTACAATCGTCATTAAAAATGTTGGACGATATGACGTAATAAGTTCATACAGAGACGAAACTGTGTTAAGAAATGAACGTATATATGTAAAAATGAGATGTATAATTTGTAATAACAAAAACTAAGAAAAAATAAGACATATAATTTAATATTGTTGAATGCCCAGTCATGTCGATAGATATGTAAGTTGAAGTATTAAAGTTGAATTATAACAATGATAAACGTAATGATTTATTCTAAAAATAATATTTCAATATAAAAATTTATTTGTAAATGACAAAGTTAACAAGATTGTTTGTAGAAAGTACATACAGACGATCAAAGAAATGACTCTTCAACGTAATCTTCATATTTAAAAATAATTGCTAATTTTTATGACGTTATTTAAGAATCATCAGCTGATTTTTACGACGTTTACCATCCGGAAGCACATGTATGTTGCATAATGAGTTTATACATTTCATCTTATGAAATAGGAATTGAAATATAACATGTAAATATCAAAATTACAGAAGATACACAATATTAAATTACACAATAAGTTATATATTTATTTGTATATATATATATGTAAATTTTTTAAATTTAAAATTGCACGTGCTTGTTGCAGCGCGAATTTCTACTAACATGATGCTGCTGCGATCGCATCTTGAACTAGAAAACCCGCTAAAAAGAAATTCAAATTGATCGATGAAAAGACATGGAATTTAGTAAAATATAGAACAAAAATGTTATACGTATGTATATTGTTATACGTATTCCGATGTCAGGAAGATGTTTAATGTAGACAGTATAAATAATTGTTTATATAATATTAATTGACAAAATGTTTTGGAAAGACAGAAAATTATCTTACTTGTAAACATACTTTCAAGATGTCAATCAGAAAAAAAATTGGGGAAATTTTTATCATTTGTTAATATCTTATTTTACGCAGGATTTTGTGCTATCTTTGTAACGTTCGCGATACACGGGGGCGTAAATTGTACGTAACGTATAGTATTTTTAATATTGATATACGTCGAAGATATGGTAATGACAATGCCGAAAATTATGATCAAATAACCAAGCCAATCAGCCCATTTTCGACAGTTGCAACAAATCGCTCGTTTCGAAACCAATTCTTTAGGAACTTCGATTCTTTCGTAGATGCCATAAGGTTGACTGGCATCCACGAACACCGGCCCGCTGTCACGAATCCGTTTTGTCATCAAAAATTCTTCGGTGGTTTCTCTACAAGGTATGGCATCATTTTCATAATCCGTAATTTCGTCAAACTCGTCATCGTAATAAACGTATGAATATCGATGATATTCGGGCGTAGGCAGGCTCAGGACACCATAATAAATCGACCTCGAATGAATCCTTGGATCGGTGGACATACCGCCGCTACTGCGACGCCTTTCAGTGCCCGAATACACTTCAGGAGTTAAGGGCCGCATGGATCTTGCTTTCAAGGCGACTACTTTTGAATATATCAAAGGTGGCAATATGAAGACCAACGGACCGGTCAAGGAACCTCCAATCAATGCCATCACGATGTCGAATCTTGGTACAGATTCTCCTACAGCTACTCCGAGAAAAACAATAGCTGATCTTATGACGCATCTCTTCCATCCAAAATCTGTTATATAAGTACGTGTCTTGTGTAAACCCGGTTCTCTAGGACCATAATTTCCTAAATTCTTATTACAGTGAGATTTCTTACTTCTTTTAATATTGCATTGATCTTCTAGATCTTGGAACAAAGCTGAGTGACCAAGAGCACTAGAAAGACATAATTGAAGAGCTGCGGAAAAAACAGCAACGCTCACTGTGAAATTTTCTGGGATTACTAGCAGAACATTGGCTGTTGTACTACCTCCGTACTTCCACACAGCCAGGATTGCAGTAATAAAAAATAATGAACCACTGACTGTAATAAATAATCAATACGATTATTATAAGATGTAGAGCAATGGTTCCATTAATAATTAACTGATAATTTACCTAAGAAGGAAATTACAATTGCCTTACTGATGTCTTGAGGGCGACGCATATCCACTTGTACAGTCATCAATGTTGGATGTACATCAAATTGAAAGGCTAACATTCCATAGCTGAAAGATTATATAATAATATATATACGTAGATAAACAGTTAATAAGTAAACTTGCCCGGAAATAAACTTGTCCCAGGTGGGAGATGTAGGTACTGGTGCAACATCAAGTTCTCGATTATCGGTAATTATACACCACCATATTAACAACGCCGTCAGTACAACTGTTGTACAGGAAAATGTAGCCAATATTCTATAAGTATCGATAGTATTTAAACAACTTATATTTCAGTTTTATGAAGTATCACGAGTTAAATCACAAATTACTTCATATCACGAGGACTACCAAGCCACATAATTGGACATAAAAGAACGCCCACAACTAGGAGCCAATAGCAGAAAGATAGGTCAAATCGTTGCCCCGAAATTTTTAGTCCAAAAATTTGCAAATTCTGGGAAGCTGGAATTTTTAATACAAATGATGAGCATAGATCAACTTTTTAATTTTTTAAAATTTATCAACTTACCAACCAGCAAGTTAGGTATACTGCAACCGAAAACTGTAAGGTCCATGATTATAGTGACCAAAGTCCTTGCACGAGGACCCATGGTCAATTCTGTTACGGCCGCAAGAGGATTTCTATTAAAACAAGTCAAATCAAAATCATCAACCCCAATAAGCGTATAATTAAAATAAAAATATTGTCTTACCGATTTTTTCTTGAAATTTGCGGATCTAGAGTGGTTGCGATAATCCATGTTTTACCAAGCAGAACAGCCGTATAGATTTCCAAAGCTAATATGACAAGAACCAGAGGAATTCCGTACAATCCTAAAAAGGAATCGTCTTTAATAATTTACAGTTACATTGGAAAAATATTTCTTTATATACATTGGTATAAAAATTACGTAAACACAATTACAACAACATAAAACATGGTAACAAGAATTGTTGACAGATCAGAATAGCTTGAATAACAAAAGAAGCTTAACAAGTTAAACAACTTTATTTTCGATCAACTTTCTCACACGATACTTTGCACTCAAAAATGCTTATGATGATCGTCATTGAACGATGAATATAACATAATCAATTATATAAATCGCTCTAATTTAAATAAAATAGTTTATGAAACAAATATTAGAGTTATATGATATACACAATCGCATTATATTTTGTATATGTATGTCTAGATATATATATATTATATACACATGTATATAATATTTATACATATATACATACATACATATATATATTAATTATTATATATATTTTACAGAATGTGTAAACGATAAAAGAAAAAAATTACTTGCTAAGATACTTAGTAAAATACAAACTTAAAAGTAAAAAGAAAATATACTATTCACACAGAGACGTCTCCAGACATTTACAATCCATTTGCCCCAATGTTCTTTTAATTACATTGAAATAAAACAAAAAAAAAGAAACGGAAACTAAAGAAGCGTTGGAAGAAACAAAGATAGACAAGCTTACCGCATTGCACGATCGAGCGTGGTAATGCGATGATCGGGAAAACGCCGAAAATATCAACAACGCATAGTGTGGCAAACAAAAGCGACAAATCTGAATTAGTATCTTTGAAAAGTAGCGGCAGTCTTTCACGGCGGTTCATGACGAGGAATGATTCATACTGTTCGACATCAGTGCAGCATACATATCGCGAACCGGTTTTCTGTTTCGCGGTTGCGAGTACCACACCAGAACATGTAACATGATACTCTATCGAACGCGAATGGCTTACCTAGTCACGGCTATAGAAACGAAGGAAGACCCACAACACGTTAGCGTTTCTTCCTTCGAAACTACATACAGCCATGCGATGCTAGAGTATAATATACATTACCGGGATCCATATTAGATATGAAATTCAATTATAAACGTATAACACACTCGTATGTGCTATATGTAATAGAAAAAATATCTCTCGAGCAACGTTGATAAATTTCACGTACTCTTGATGGAAAAGATATATATATATATATATATATATATACTGAAATCGTAAATTACAGTGATTGATCTAGCTGGAACTGTAATGAATTAATGTTTAAAACTTTTTCTCACAACTCATTGGTAAAATTTTGTAAAAATAAAAAATTCACAACAGCAAAGAATGTAGTACATATATACATTATAGTTGACATTTTTACAAGGTTTGAATGTTTTCGAACTTTTAAAATTTTTGTTTCGACGTTCGAAATCTGCATACTTTTGAAGTTGAATAGTTTACGACCTCACTATGTCTTCCATCATAAGTACGTGTACGAAACAAATTCGTTGATTTGTCCTATCGAGTGTATGACATATTCACATATTCGGTATCTCCTCGCTGTTGCTCAAACATCGTAACACGTTAACCTCTTCGTCCACTATTTCATACTCGTTCAGGCGTAACTTGATGCAAAGTCCTTTCTTCTTCTTTAAGAAGAAACAAAAACATTCTCCCGGCCTGTGATCATATAGATGTTTACATTAAAATTTAAAAATCGTGCGTAAATTTATAAGAAACTATAATATAATTTACAATATAAGAAATTAGAAAATTGAGGATTGACAAATGGTAATTATAACTTGTCGTATTTATACCTAACTTATAATACATGTTTAATGATAAAAAGTCGTACAGATAAATGTAATACTTCTTAATCGTCTGTTTCGTAGGCTGGTGACGCTGGAGAATACGTAGGACTCGTCGGCGAATAACCGGGTACTGGTGGAGAATATGTTGGACTCGTTGGTGAGTAACTTGGGCTGGTTGGTGTATACGTTGGACTGGTAGGCGAGTATTTGGTACTCGACGGTGAATATTGAGGACTCGTAGGTGAATACGTGGGACTAGTAGGGGAATAATTTGGACTACTGGGTGAATATCTCGTACTTCCCGACGCTGTATGTTGTGGTGAACTGGGCGAGTACGATGGGCTGGTCGGTGAATAAGTCGGACTCGTTGGAGAGTACGTCGGACTTGCTGGCGTATACTGTGGCGAAGTTCCAGCGAACGACGGCGACGTAGGCGAATATGACGGGCTTGTTGGAGAATATTTCGGACTGCTCGGCGAGTAACTTGGACTAGCTGGTGAATATTGTGGAGAACTTGGCGAGTAACTTGGACTCGTTGGAGAATAAGACGGTGAAGCTGGTGTATAATTTGGTGAGCTCGGGGAGTAACTTGGACTCGTTGGTGAATAACTTGGACTTGTTGGTGAATAACTCGGCGACGTTGGCGAGTATGATGGACTTGTCGGTGAGTAGCTTGGCGACGTTGGTGAATAGCTCGGACTTGTTGGTGAATAGCTCGGACTTGTTGGTGAATAGCTCGGACTCGTTGGCGAATAACTTGGCGATGTTGGTGAGTAGCTTGGACTTGTTGGTGAATAACTTGGTGACGTTGGTGAATAACTTGGCGATGTTGGTGAATAGCTTGGACTTGTTGGTGAATAACTTGGTGACGTTGGTGAATAGCTTGGACTCGTTGGCGAATAACTTGGACTTGTCGGCGAATAGTTTGGACTAGTAGGTGAATAAGTGGGACTCGTAGGCGAATAATTAGGACTCGATGGTGTTATACTTGGCGATGTTGGTAAGTAGGTGGGTGACGTAGGTGAATAACTTGGTGAAGCGCCACCCGCTGGTGACATTGGGTATGGACTCATGCTAGGTCCTGGACTTCCTGGACTTCCAGGTTGTGGTGAATATGCAGAGTACGCAGGAGAAAGTCCTGAAGCATCTGATGCTCCTGATGGAGAGAAGCATGCTCCTCCTGGCGTCATACCACTACCCAATGCTGTAAGAAAGAGAGAAAAAAAAGAAACAAATTGTTCATGAACGAATGATGATAATAAATTTTAAAATTAGAAGATACGTATAGATATAAATAATCTTACCAGGCGACATACTTGAAGCACCATAACCAGGTGTTGCGCCTATCCAAGGTGTCATTTGAGGACTCATGCTTGGTGTAGCAACACTACCAAAGAACATTCCCGCAGTTCCCATTACACCAGCACCCACTGCCATTGGTATTTCAATACCAGCTTTACATTTCTCAGCATCTAGTAGTAAATCGAAACATCCTGAAACAATAAAATTAAATGTTAACTTGATAATTCCAGATTTCTTTATTGAAATCATCAATTGAAAATAATACCTGTTCCTATGCGCGGAAGTTGCCCCATGATGATGTTTTCAGACACTCCTCTCATTGGATCCACTTCCGCATGAGAAGCTGCATCCAACAAAACATCTACTGTTTCTTCAAAGGAACATCTACAATAAGATACAAATGTGTTAAATTTTTAACTAATAAATTGGTAAATTTATTTTGGTTTCTTATAACTTACCTCATAAGAGCACCAGTATCTTGTCTGTTGATTCCGTGACGTGTTATAGCCATCAAGTGTCCTTTTGCAGTCATTACATCACAAAGCAAAGCTAGATGACGATAGTTTACATAAAGGCCGTAGAATTGCAAAACAGCGTTCATTTCTTTCTCTACCGATTTTCTCACAGCCTCTATACCCAAAACTTCGAATATCTCGCAAATATCGTTGCTAAATGTTCTAACCGGATCGACATCTCTTTCGCTCAACACTTTCATCAAACTCGTACCATCCGTTTCCAATAACCATTCTGCTATTGCTTTAAATTCACCAGTTTCCGTGATTACTATACGTTTCTTAGCATCGGTTTGAGGCAAATGCATATACACTTTTCCTATCGCTTCAATACCCTATGTACGAAAGTAATAATATAGATATTTAAAATTAAAATTAAAATATTATTTATAATTTAATAATAAAATTTGAAAACGCACCTGTAATGTCATATCACTGAGCATATTCGCTTCGATGCATCGAAGAAACATATCATCTTCCATTTTATCTACAGTTTCTTCCTCGCTATCTTGGAACTTGTTATCGTCGCTATTCATTATCCTAATTCGTAAAACTAATTTCTCGGCGTTATCATCATTAAAAATACAGTTCAAATCGTCACCAAAACCAGCATTAATTTTTTCCGCAATTTGTTCCATGGTTAATTTTTTATCAGTCATCCTCTTGCGATCTAGTTCAATTCGAAGTAACCATGGTGATATTTTAGTTGGATCAAAATCAGGCATTTCATAATATACATTGACGAATTCTTGATCTTCTGCTATTACAGTATTTTGTGGATCTGGATCATAGTAAATCGCAGTGTTTGCTGTAACTTTTCTCAGTGTGGTATGTTCCAACCGACATAGCACATTCTTTGCTTTCTCGGCATCTCTTGCTGCAGCTCCCGTCAAAAATACAGTCAAGGACGGAGCCTTCGGTTTCTTACTAATGTTAATAATTTCCTTCAATCTCGGTACACCAAGGGTTACGTTCTTTGACGATACACCAGCAAAATGGAAAGTATTCAGTGTCATTTGAGTTGCAGGTTCACCAAGCGATTGTGCAGCTAAAGCACCTACCATTTCTCCCGGTGATACCTAAATAAAGTATAAAATTGATTTTAAACTATAATTTGAATTTTTTAATCAAAATTTAAATATTAATGTATGGTCTATTTTCTGCAAACCTGTGCTTGTTGGAATCTAGTTTCAATTTCTCCAATAAGCCATTCAAAGGCTTCACTAGATAATCGAAATTCCTCAGAAACACATTTTGTACACAATGTGGATCTCACTAAACACTGGAATAATAATGTGGCATTCTCATTAGCCTGTTTGCTAAGTCTATCATCGCCGGCTACGATGATACATTTATCTAAAAGATCCTTTACACCTACAAAGAAATATTTTAAAATTAATGTTGCCACTACTATGTATAGTAAATGATAATATGATAATATGAATTATCAAATTATTTACCTTGTATGACCCTCATAGGGCTAAGATCAGTAGGTGCACGTTTATTTATATGGAAAATCTTTTGTACATTCCAAATCATTCTTTGCAAGTTACAAGGCAGTACAACTTTCGATTCTCCACTAGGGAAAATCTCTCTCAGTACAGCACGATCTTTATTCAATTGTTCCCATTCTCTTTCTAATTCGGATATGACTTCGCCAGATCCCATCATTTCTCGAACGATATCTTCGTTAAAGATACGACGAAGATATCGTTCGTTCGTTGGATCAAATTTGAACTTCTTCTCAAATGCTTTGTTACTTAATTTAATGGTAGGCAAATTTTGAAATTCGACGGTTTCACCGCATAGACCGTCTTCGCCATAACGCAATTGGATAAGCTGTCCCACAGAGTTTCTAACTGTTCCGTCGTAATGCACCATTACAGACTCCATAGCCTTTATCAAACGACGTTGGATATATCCAGTTTCTGCAGTTTTTACAGCAGTATCGATAAGACCCTCACGACCTCCCATGGCGTGAAAATAAAACTCGGATGGCGTTAAACCAGCAAGATACGAGTTCTCAACGAATCCTCTAGATTCAGGACCGTAATCGTCCTTGATGAAATGTGGCAACGTTCTTTTGCGAAAACCGAACGGAATACGTTTACCTTCTACGTTCTGCTGACCGACGCAAGCAATAACCTGAGAGATATTGATGTTCGATCCTTTTGATCCTGATACTACCATGGCCTTTAGATTGTTATATTCGGTCAAAGATTTCTTAGCAGAGCCACCAGTCTTATCACGAGCGTCGTTTAGAATTCTGTTTACTTGATTTTCGAAAGTCTGCCTCAAAGTGTTACCAGGAGTTGGCTCCAATTCCATGTTGTGAGCTTTCTGAATTACCTCTATCACGTCCTCTTTGGCTTTCCTAATGGCTTTCTGGATTTCTAAATAAGTCTGTGGATCGGCAATGGTATCACCAATACCAATTGAGTGACCTTCCAGAAGTAACCAATTATTAATTACAGTTTGAATGTTTCCGTAAAATCGTCCACAAACTTCGTGTCCTAGTTCTAACATACAAATGTGAAGCAGAGATCCAGCAGACGTACCCAAAGTCTTCTTACAGAGTATACCCATAACGAGTTCTCCGTGCTCTACCATGACCTTCGTATCACCAGGTGAAATCCACTTGTATGGGCCATCATCTTCTTCATCCGGATGTGTACTGTGAGTTCTTATCATATTCACATTGCCTGGTATAATTAAAGAAAAGATTTGTTTACCAGTCCATAAAGGCTTTGGTTTTAATATGCATGGCTGAGGCATTTTGCCATCCCAACTGGGTAAGAACATAAGGATGTTCATCATTTGTTCCTTTTCTATGAAAACGTCCCTCTTCGTCATCTTTCTCACAGCAGTAAGTGTATCTTGTACAATACCCATGACTGGTTTATTAGCTTGTGGCGTAATGATCTGACGGGGTGTTACGTGAATATTTTCTACTTCCGCTCGGGTTTCCATTGACTGTGGGACGTGTAGATTCATTTCGTCACCGTCGAAATCGGCGTTATAAGGAGACGTACAACTAAGATTCATACGAAATGTACTCCATGGTAATACTTTCACTCTATGGCCCATCATACTCATTTTGTGAAGCGTTGGTTGCCGATTGAAAATTACTAGGTCGCCATCGCGGATATGACGTTCCACTCTGTAGCCACACTGTAGATGTAAATCAGATGGTTTTGGATGGAACCTTAAATCAATCCTTTCACCATTATCTCTGACGATATACTTAGCGCCTGGGTATTGCGAATTTCCTCGTCTAACAAGTTCTTGCATTTTATCGATATTAAAAGGCGTTACAATTTCCGGGAATGTTAAATTTTGTGCAATACTCCGAGGTACACCAACCTGATCGATCCGTAAATTAGGATCAGGAGTAATAACAGTACGAGCAGAGAAGTCAACACGTTTGCCCATTAAATTTCCTCTTATTCTGCCTTCCTTTCCTTTCAACCTCGCTTTTATAGCTTTCAATGGTTTGCCCGACTTTTGCATAGCACGTGGCATGCCAGGCATATCGTTATCAACTAACGTTGCTACGTGAAACTGTAACATTTTTATGTTTTCCGATATGACGTGTGCTGCTGCTCCAGCTTGTTCGTTCCTGATTAATTCGTTATTTGCTTTTATAATATCAGCAAGTTTGTGTGTTAAATCGTCTTGATTCTTGGCGGAACCATACATAATAACTGCCGGTCTGACAGACAAAGGTGGAACAGGCAAAACAGTTACTACCATCCAATCAGGTCGTGCAAATTTTGGATCCATACCAAGAATAAATGATTCTTCATCTGTAATGTGCTTTAAAATTTCCCACGCTCTCTCTGCCGTGAGGGGCATCTTCTTTTCTTGCGAATCTTCGTTTACATGCGTCCATTCTGCGGTGACGTCTAATCCAGATCTCCGGAGATTTGGCTGATATCTACCACATCCACCATGTCCTGGTTTTCTGTCTGTTGGTTGTTGTTCTTGATTTTCTTTGTTAATATCCATCTCATCTCCACCCTCGCAAATATTTTTACTTTTACACAAATCGTAAACAAACGTGAGACGTTTTCGTGGTTGACCTTTAGTTTTCATAACAATTTCTTTGATTTTCGGATTGTGCTATAATTAGAAAATAATCTGAGATTAAATAATAATAAACATGTGAAAAGAATTATGATTTTTAATGATCTATACTAACTGGACTGACAAGAAGTTTTGAACAATAAAAACACACACATCTCAAAATTTTTATTGTTTTTGTTATAAAACCAACATGAAAAATTGGTTTTGCCAAATCTATGTGACCAAAGTGTCCTGGACATTCTGTCATGTTACCAGCGCACGTTTGACATCGAGAATTTCTATCAATGACACCTTGTCTTGGGTCCATAAGTCCACCAAGTTTTGGACGGCCACCCTCCATAGTTTCTGGAAAGCGAATGCCTCCATCTGTGACGGACATTCGGCGCTGTGCAAAACATGTATATAATTACACACAATTGACAAATTCATAATATACAATAAAACTTTGGATATTATTCAGTGATCATCTTAGGAAAATAAAAAGAAAACATATGGAATATATTTTTCAAAAATGATATGTCTTAAATTTATTTTTTTGCATTACATGTATACACATTATACGAAATTTATGTTACATATTGTTTAATTATGTTGAAAATTTATGCATATATATTATACGATGAAAATGTATAATTATAAAAATATAGTAAAATAATAAAAATAAACAAGAAATATAATCATATATTTATCAACACCAATAATTAATCAATAATTTCTATTTATTATAAAAATTATATTTTACAAATTTATCATAAACTTGAGTATTTTCAGCACAGACGTTGAATTTAAAACAAAGATCATAATCTTTTAATAAATCTTTTAATAAAAAAAAAAGGAAACTTGTAATTTATATGGTGTGAATAAAATTTACGTGGAACTTTAATAATTATGTAATAAATCACTCTCACTACATTTGTTTTATAATTTCGAGTCCTCATTTTCTGCACATAGAATTGGAAAAAAATTAAACGCGCGATTGTTTGCAAGTAACATTGAATGCTTTGTATGATAATGTTTTATTGTCATACGTACTGCCGATTCGTGATGAAATATTTCTGCATATCGTGAAAAGAAAAAATATATTCTATAAGATTTATTTATGTAAAATTAACAAACTTACTATCTCATCTGGTGAAAGAATACCAAACTGGACCCTTTTTACAGTTCGCAGAGGCGCTTTAGAGTCGGAGGTGGCCATTTTGCAACGAGCAGATGCAGCTTCTACCGTGGCCTTCTGCGTCACGGCCTGCGGTACTTTAACTGTTTTTTCCCGTCGAGAATATCTCCCTCTCCTTCATTGTCACCAACTACAGAAAGAAAATAACCGCATTTTAAATGTTAATTTTCATGTAAATAATAACATTAATTTAAATATAATTAATACATATGATAATATACTAAATACAACTAAATACATAAAAACATAATCAATATAATAAATATAATTAATATAATTAAAGTATAATTATTAACTAATGCAAAAGAATTTACGAAAAAATAATTGTTTAATTTTTTGATGTGCATTGATTTTATAGAAATCGGAATTAAAATTTATATTGCATAAAATAATTAAAATTGAACTACTAATTCAGCTTAATTTTTCACATTATACACACACTATGTTTTCTAAACTAACTAACCTTTGTTACTTCGTTAGTTGAACAAAGTTGAATATAATAAAAAGTTTCATAGAAACTTATTGGCTGAAAAGAACAGAACATAATAGGAAATAGTAGAGAAAGGTTAGGTTAGGAAATAGTAAAGAAAGGTTAACTAAAATCTTGTTTGGAACAAAGTCAAACCTAGAATAAGTGTATGTAATGTAATAAATACATAGACATTGTATCATTTCTTCACAAAATATAACTTAAATGCATCGAGAAAAATCGGAAAAATCAAAGTGGGAACTTTTTCTTATAAAACCAAGTCTAGTGAAGATAATATGTTGTCGTCTTATCTTCTAGTAAGGTTACTAAAATTCTCCATTTTTAGTAACGGTACTAAAGATAAGGAGTATTCAGTCGTTCAGTGAAGTTAAAGTGAGCAAGTTTGTCTTGTGTTGTTTGTCGCAATTATAAACATTCACAATATTCAAGATTTAAAAGTTAAATCATCAAGATTTATAAGTTGAATAACTAAATAAGAAAATGGCCACTTCAAAAACGACAAATATGTATAACAGACAAAATTGGGAAGACGCTGTAAGTAGAATCAAGGTTATAATATATATAATCGACATGATATAATTGAATTCTATATAAATAAAAAATGAAATGTTTGAAATATTTATATTCTTTTGCTTTTCTTTTTAGGAATTCCCAATATTATGTCAAACTTGTTTGGGCGATAATCCTTATATTCGTATGGTGAGTAATTTCGTCAAAATATGAATTTTGTAAAGAAATATTTATTTATAACATAATTTTTTTCTTTTTTAATTTGCAGACAAAAGAAAGATATGGGAAAGAATGCAAAATATGCATGCGTCCGTTTACAGTATTTAGATGGTGTCCTGGCGCAAGAATGCGATTTAAGAAGACAGAAGTTTGTCAAACATGCAGTCGTTTAAAAAACGTCTGCCAAACTTGTTTACTTGACTTAGAATATGGTTTGCCGATTCAAGTACGTGACGCAGCGCTTAAAATTAAAGATGATTTGCCTAGATCCGATGTGAACAAGGAGTACTATGTACAAAATATAGATAGTGAAATTGGAAAAATAGATCCAACATCGCCAGCAGGTGCTGTTGGTAAATCTGCAGCTGCTAGTGATTTGTTAATGAAGTTAGCAAGGACTAGTCCCTATTACAAGAGAAACAGACCACACATTTGCTCCTTTTGGGTTAAAGGAGAATGTAAACGAGGAGAAGAATGTCCATATCGTCACGAGAAACCTACTGATCCTGATGATCCATTAGCTGATCAAAACATCAAAGATCGTTACTATGGTGTTAATGATCCTGTTGCTGACAAATTAATGCGCCGAGCAGCAGCCATGCCTAAGTTAGATCCACCAGAAGATAAGTCCATTACGACTCTCTACGTTGGTAATCTGGGTGATGTTTTAACAGAGAAGCAACTACGCGATCACTTCTATCAATATGGGGAAATACGTTCTGTGACTATGGTTCCTCGTCAACAGTGTGCCTTTATTCAGTACACACAAAGGAGTGCTGCCGAAGCAGCAGCAGAAAGAACATTCAACAAATTGATATTAGGAGGACGAAGATTAACGATTAAATGGGGACGTTCACAAGGAAGACAGACAGTATCTGCAGCAGAAGCGACTAGGGAAATCTTAGAACCTGTACCAGGTTTACCTGGTGCTCTGCCACCTCCACCAGAAAGCATGGGAAATAATTTTTTCAATCTGCAAACCACTCCCGGCATGATACCACCAATGATGATACCACCTCCACCAGTTGCTCCCCAATTTATGTTTCCACCTCAAATGGCAACTGCCACGGCAACACCTATTTTCCCACCTGGAACAACTCCAATACACTATCCAAGTCAAGATCCATCAAGAATGGGTGCATCTCAAGGCATAGGGAAACCTTGGCCGGAGGAATGATAAGGATTATTATTTAAATTTGTATTGTAATTATAACAAAAATGATGTATAAAAAAAATAAATATATATCTTTGATTTTGTTTAATTTTTTGCTACAATAATTTATATCCTTGTAAGTGTAAATATATATTTAATACAATTAATTAAACATTAAGGTATTTGCATGCCACTTGTAAACAGAGTTTAATTTCTAATATGTTTTTCTTTTTTTTTTTAATCTTCCAATTCGTATTACTTCTTGAAACAGCTTTTATGATATAACGAACAGTAACTCATTTCAACGAACACTGAGTAGAAGTAATAGAGACGCCATCTACTGTGATAATGGACAAACATTCTTAACAGCTAGCGCGTATTAGCGGCCGCTCCGAGTGTCATCATCGCATTTTAATACGTGTCCATTGATAACTATTCGTCCGGTGTTTCTGCTTCGTAATTTTTCTTCTGTAAATCTATGGAGTGTTTTCATTGTCGGATATCTTTGAATTTCTGTCTGTGTTAGCATAAGGCGCCTAGTGCGCCTTCCCGTCACGGATGGACATGTGTCGGGCGCGATTGTTATTTCATTTTCTGGCGCTTAGCCTACTCCCCTTCGCCCGTCCCGACGAGCACACTCATGTCGTAAGTATTCAGAATTGACATGCTTTCAGAATGTCAAAGAGGCAAATTCATCTTATACATGTGTATCCTTGTTGATTTTGCAACGTGCGCATCTTATGATCTTTTATCACAATCCATTCTTTCGTTATCTTACCATAAATACTCAACTTGTAATACATTGTAAATTTGCATTTAAATTACTTTTCAAGATAAACTGTTTTCATTTTTTCTTTGAAAAGAAAACTCTTTCTGTTTCCTTTTTGCTTTGAAAAGATCACATTACAAATGGTATAACTTAATAGCTGATTTATCATTAAAAATTGATTTGTTTTACTGCATATCTTTGTTAATAATACTCTGTTACATGAAACAGAAATGTGTATTAACAAATATATTTTCTTTCATTAGTATGAAGATAATGAGGAAGTTGTACTATGGATGAGTACAGTTGGACCATATCACAATCGTCAAGAAACTTACTCATATTATTCATTACCATTTTGCATGGGTACAAAAGATGTTATTGATCATTATCATGAAACTTTTTCTGAAGCACTACAAGGCATTGAACTTAAATTTAGTGGCTTGGAGATTGAATTTAAGGGTATTTTAAAGTTTTGTTAATTAACAATAAATATTACATAAATACTTATTTACATAATGTATTTTTTTTTTATAGCTGATGTCGCAAAGATGGATTATTGTCAAATAAAATTAACAGAAGAAAGTGAGAAAGCTTTTATATATGCAGTGAAGAATCAATATTGGTATAAAATGTATATGGATGATCTGCCAATATGGGGTAATGTTTTTTTTTTTTCTAAAACTCTAAATCTATTACTATTGCATCAATTAATTATTATGTGATATTTAGGTGTTGTAGGAGAGCCAGAAGAAAATAATGGAGTTGTATCTTATTATATTTGGACACATAAGAAGTTTGACATAGGATATAATGGAAAACAAATAGTCGATGTAAATTTGACCAGTGAAAATAAGGTAAAATTGGTACAAGATGCAGCTATCTCTTTTAGTTATGAGGTTAACTGGAAGAAGAGCAATGTTAAATTTGAAGATAGATTTGACAAATATTTGGATCCTAATTTCTTCCAACATAGAGTAAGTATTACAGTATTAAATTTGTTTAAATTTCTGTAAAATCATTTAGCTTAAATTTGAACTTGATGTACTATAAATCTATTGGTAAAAATAGTAAATAGATATGGTGAAACTAAGTGAGAAATATTTTCTTGTCATGAAATTCGATCCGATTTATTAAAGGTTAAGCAAACGTTACTACTGATCGAAATATTTTAAATAAAAAATCATACATTTCGAAATGAAAAACAATGGTTCTTTATCTTTTCTAGATTCATTGGTTCAGTATTTTTAATAGTTTTATGATGGTAATCTTTCTTGTTGGACTTGTTTCTATGATTTTAATGCGTACATTAAGGAAAGATTATGCTAGATATAGTAGGGATGAAGAAATGGATGATATGGAACGAGATTTAGGAGATGAATATGGTTGGAAACAAGTTCATGGAGATGTATTTAGACCAGCTAGTCATGCAATGCTTTTCTCTGCTCTTATAGGCGCAGGCTATCAAGTAATTATTATAGTAATACATAATTTACAAATTCGTAACAAATATTTTTCAAAATAGTAACTAGAAACGTTACTATTTTTATTGATAAGTTACTTTACTTTACTTTAGGTCACTGTAGTTGTACTTAGCGTTATTATTTTTTCTATCGTCGGAGAATTATACACGGAAAGAGGATCAATGTTGTCGATAGCAATTTTTGTGTATGCTGCTGCATCACCTATAAATGGTTATGCCGGAGGAGGTTTATATGCACGTATGGGAGGTCGTATCTGGATCAAACAAATGATTCTCAGTGCCTTCATGTTACCTCTTATAGTCTGTGGCACTGCATTCTTCATTAACTTCATTGCAATGTATTATCATGCCAGCCGTGCTATACCATTCGGTTCTATGGAAAGTATTATTTATATGGTATACGTTTCATTTGTATGTACATTTCTTGCGTGTATTAACAAGAATATTCTGTTTATAGGTAGCAGTAACGTGCATCTGTATATTTGTTATATTACCATTAACATTAGTTGGAACAATCTTGGGCCGCAACTTAGCTGGAACACCGGACGCACCATGCAGAGTTAATGCAGTACCCCGACCTATTCCTGAAAAGAAATGGTTTATGGAACCACTTGTTATCATAATGCTTGGTGGTATTTTGCCCTTTGGATCGATATTTATTGAAATGTAAGCTCTATCATTTGCTACCACAAAATTAATGTATATTAATTATGTTTCATTTCCTTTCTAGGTACTTCATTTTTACCTCATTTTGGGCATATAAAATTTATTATGTTTATGGATTTATGCTACTAGTATTCGTTATTCTAATGATAGTAACCGTTTGTGTTACAATCGTATGTACATATTTCTTGCTAAACGCTGAAGATTATCGATGGTAAATTATTTTACTGATTAATTTTAATAATTAACATTGTTTGATTTATGTACGCTATTTTATTTCATAGGCAGTGGACAAGTTTCTTAGCGGCCGCTTCAACCGCCGGTTATGTCTATATATATTCCTTTTATTATTTCTTCTTTAAAACTAAGTAAGTATATATATTTATATATTTGATTACATTGCATATCAGTTGATCAAAAAAAGAAAACTATATCTCAAATTTTCTTTATCTTCAGAATGTATGGTCTCTTCCAAACAGCCTTTTACTTCGGTTACATGGCATTGTTTAGTCTCGCCTTGGGTATAATGTGCGGTACAGTCGGTTACGTTGGTACTAATGCATTTGTACGGAAGATTTATTCTACTGTTAAAATAGACTAAAGCACAATGCTAGTGTAACGATGCCTATGATGAATTAAAATACAAAAATACACAGTGAAATTGCCGGTTTTTATAAAGTAGGACTCTGTTTAATAATTTAAATTATTCATTGTGACGCGCAAATGTAACTTGTGGAAAAAATTATGACACCGGCTGAAATAATATAATATCAATGAAATGTAGCATAAATATTTAAAAAAAAATTGATATCGTTATGTTTTTTCTAAATATTCAATGAATGTTTTGTCACTTTACGTTTATTACTAATATTATGATGTTTTTATTTAAAAAAGAGAATGATTAACGTATTTGTTGCAATTTGTGAAAATAGGTCCTACAGTACAGAACAGTACCTATACATCTATGAAACAAATAATTTGCAAATTATTCAAACAATCACATGTAATAATTCATCCTGTAAATCATATTTCGATATTATACAAAATGCAGACTCTGATAATTACGTAATTATTTAGAATTACTAAAAACAATAAATTTTTTAACATTGCTCAATATTGCTGGATTTATTGAAAACTTGCTGATTATTTTTTTTTTTTTAGGATTTATAGAAAGTTATATAAATTTTAAAAATGTTTAAAGAATTTCAATGCCTTTTTCAAAAAGATATATCAACAAATACAAATATCTTAATTCTTCATCAAAAATAATAACGTTCCAAAATGCCAACGATAATTACAAATACAAAAATGTACGAAGTTGAAACTGAAAAATGAAAGAAAAAAATACAGATTATTAGATATAAATTGTACAGTATAAAATTTTCGATACAATGTATTCACGATGTAAAGGATATACTTTAATTAGCATTATTAGAGACAGTAATACAGTTGTGTGACTCTGAATTAAAAGTTTAATTTTATATATATATATATATATATAACATTTGATTACCGATAATTTGAGTAACGTTAATTTATAGATAAGCTAGAGAATAGACTTTAAAAAAAGATAAATAAATAATAAGAAATTTTTTACTATTGGCTGCGTATTGTATCTTTTCTTCTTCTTTTTTATGTGCATAGTCTTTATTATAAACTGTGAGTGCATTGGTAAAATGTAAAGTATTGTGAGACTATAACCAGTGGTAAAATGATTTTTTTACTTGTGATCTTCTTCATACGGTTAAATATTTAAATACACGTTTAAACGTTGCTGAAAAAAAAATAAATAAAACTGTGGAAATTATGGAATTTGAAAATTGCGGTAAATGTATTTATCCTAACGCGATACATTAAGCGGCAAATATCAGGAGAATACGTGAATAAACATACTATTTGTTATTAGACGTAGCACTTTTAAGAAATATAAAATTTCTACATACAACAAAAATACAATCTACTTTTATTCATACATCTATTTGTCTTAATTATATTGTGTTATAATCTTTCTGTATTGACTAAAATTTTGTCTCGTTAAGTGGCCAGATATTGAAACTACTGGATTAGTTAGCAAAAGAGGATTTGTGTTTATATAAAAAAAGTCTTTAGATAAATGGATAAAAAGATAATTAATACATGATAAGGTTCTATAAATATTAAAATTATAAAGAAAGAGAACAAGTGAAATAAAAGAAATAAATACAATATTGAACTTTCAAAAAATGATAGCCAATATATTCATATTTGAAAGAAGTACCACGTTGTTCAAAAGTATTTCACATAAAATATTTATATAATGTCGCAATATATTTACAATCACTAACTAAATAAGCAGTAAAATAATATGGCAATATGTAATTAAATGAATCAAATTACGAAAGATACAATTGTTGAATCGATTCTGATGGTGCCAGTGTGGCACTAATGCTGCTCTGTCGTACACTTCAAAGTATTCACGTGTCAAAGCACATTCATCAACGAAGAAGTACATGTGTAGTGTACACACCTGTTCACCGCTGAAAGAATAATACATGTTGTAAGTGCACAGTGACAGAAATAATATTTAAATTGTCTTCTTCTCTACTTCAAGTTGCACCAAAATATCTTCCAGTAAATAAAAAACAACAGAAATGGCACCAAAACAAAGAATGCGTATCGCTAATGAAAGAGCCACAAAAAACATCACACTGCGTGGAAATGTTCCGAAGTCATCGGTATGTTATTTTCTATTATTGAATAAATTCTATTCAAATGAATATGTGTAATATAAGACGACTGAAGTCTGTTATGTGAAAATAAAGAATTTCTAATTTTGAGGTTAAAAGCTGTGATAAAGCTGACAAATTGATTGCACGTACAATGACATTTATAATTCCTATTACTAATTGTTCTATTATTATCGTCTGTTACTATTTTCGTTTATTGTCAGAGTCACATCTTTGATGAAATATTTTTTATTTCGAATTTTTTAACAGTAAGAAAATTGCAAATTAATGGATTGACAATTGTACCATATGTGACATAAATTTATACAACTTTGAAATCATTACCCAAGTAATTTGTACATGTTTTATTAAAGTGAATTTGAGCTGTAAAACATAATATATAAATTTTATTTTATTTACTTTTACAATCATATTAAATTACTAATTATTTAGAAATAATATTTTAGGTCGCAATAATGCATAATAATAATTATATTATAGAAACCACAGGACGAAGGATCTCCAGTTGGACCTTGCCTGTTAGCACTTTTTCTCTTTGTTGTGTGTGGCTCTGGTAAGTTTCATATTATAATTTGGATATAGATTTCGTAATGAACGTGAAAAACATAAAACAAAATTTTTATACTATCTACAATTTAATTTTTCTATTTTTCAGCTGTATTCCAAATAATTCAGAGTATTAGAATGGCTTAAGAAAATCAAAAACATATAAGATTGAAAATATGTTGCTGTTGATGTTAATATGAGAGAAAAAAAGCTGTCTACATCTTACTGATATATAAGCGAGATCAACAGACTGTTTTACTGCATATTGTAAAAACATGTAGACACTATTGACGATATTGACATGAAACTGAACACAAATTTCCAGTAACTAATATTTTTTTCTTCTTTTGCTACAACTCAAAAAAAATTATTTATAAAAAGAATTTAGCATTTATAAACATTTTACTTAATTATATATATATATCAATGAAAGAATATTGCATTTAATGTATTTTTTCTTTTGTAGATATGAAACAAAATATCACATGTTGAATATGATTTATCTTTATTCTGTAACTTTTATTCTGAGTTTTGTGAAAAGCTTAAATTCTTTCATTGATACTTATATATAGTAAATAATTGTATATACATATGATCAATTTATTATATCAATTTATTAATCAAAGCATTCCACTGTAAACAGTTGGTAGCTTTTGGTTGTCTATATATTTTAGAGGCCTTAAGACATAAGTCATTATACATGTAAAAATATATATTATATATTGTCAGTGTAATTTATCCTAATGAAATATTTGCTACGGACAATTCTTTATCTCTTTTAATAAATTATATTATGAATAAATATTTGTGTAAGTTTTATTCATTTGTACAAAAAGAATGAAAATATTTTATTTTGAATTTATTATAAATAAATATGAAATAAATAAACTTATACAAATACGTACGATAGTAATAAAACATCTTTTATTTGTCAAAGTCTAATTTTATCTTTATCTAAAAAATTTTTAGTAATTTAAGAATTCAGTGTGACCAATTTTTCCTAGTTTCCTTAGAATATAAAATAAATAAATTTGTCAGAAATATATACAGATATATGTAATAGTAATAAAGCGGTGTTTACATATTTTATTTTATTACTCAAAGAATATTACATATTTTATTCCCTAATTTTATTCTATATCTAAAAAAAATTTTAGTAACCTAAGAATTCCCTACGTTACTCAGAACTGTTATTCAAATTAAACGAGAAGTTTATAGGAAAAAACTAGGAAAAAGGAAAGACGGATTTTTCAAAGGCAAACTTAGAAACATTTAGCATTCAAAATATTTTTTTTCCATTTTAAGTTTATTTTTTATATACATTTTTATAAATGGCTAATATATTTAATTTGTTCGGTGAAATATCAGAACTTCACAAAGGTAAGAATAAAAATATATAAGAAGGTTAATATTTATATTTATTGTGTTCTATAAACATAATTTTATTATTGTGTTCTGTAAACATAAATTAATGTTTCAATCCTTTAATGTACATATATATTACTAATGAATATATTACTAACTATTATAGATCCAGTTACGAAATCTTTAGCTAGATCAAAAAGTTCTCTTGATATAAGTGGTACTTCCTTGAAGAATGTTAGCCGATCAAAACCAAAAGGGTTATCAATTAGATCTAACTCTGATTTGAATGTATCAGTCACTGTGCAAAATATTCCAAATAAACAACAGGAATTACTGAAGCTAACACAGGTAGACAATAACGGTCAAGTAATATCACCTAGAAAGGCTGCTTTATCAAAGGTATAAATTATTACAAAATTCTGCAAATAAGAAATATAACATATTTTAAATTTTTTTTCTAGAAACCATTTGGATGTTGTGATAAATTGAAAGATATATCTCCAAAAAAAGGATTTAACACAAAAAATATAAAATTACCAGAATTATCACACGATGAAAGTGTTTTTAAAAAACCATTACCGTTACCATTAAAAAATAATAATAAATCATACCCAGAGCCAGAAAATCTAGCACCATATTGTGACATGCAATTTGAATTTGGTATAATATTTACTTAATTTATTAAATTATAACTTATAAAAAGATATTCATAATCAAATATTTTTCACAGATAATATTTATACTAAAATTATAGAAAATGAATTTAAAGGATTACTTGAAAAGGAAGAAAATGAAGATGAAGGATTTGAATCAGGTATTAAACATTAATTATGAATCTTTCATATATTACACACACATGCGCGCGCGCGCATATATATATATATATATTTCAAATTTTTTATTTAGGTTCAGATCTAATTGATTTTGAAATGCCAGAATTGCGTATATCATTTGAATTATTTGATGAAAGAGAGATACAATATGAAATTCCTGATTTACCAGAAATATCAAATGATGAAAAAATTTAAATATAAAAATATAATAGTTATTTAACTTGACATCGATTTTAAGCTTTTTAATAAAATAATTTAAAAATATAATATGTTAGAGCAGTTAAACAGATTATGAAGTATATTTAAATATATATGATTAAGTTAAAAAAAAATTAACAATTTAATAAATTGTAATTTCAACACATTGTGTTTTATGTATGAATAAATTATTTTTCTGTAAAAATTGTACACGATTATTTTATTAGTAGTAGTTTTTATAAAAATTTTCATTACAGAAATAGCGATTACACGCTTTTCAATTGTCGGTGGTACAAAATGACCACAGACAGATGTTTGATTGTAATAGCTGGTATTTTGGAAGATTGTACTTTCAATCATATTTGTTTTGTCGCTGAAAGTTTATCTACGATATTACCAAATTTTCATTACAGAAGTATTAGTAAAAGTTCCGCAAAATGGGATGTAAGTTGACATCATTTTATATAAACGAAATTCGTTAATTGCTTATTTTCTAGTGCTGGTTGAAAGAAACTTGTGATCTTTATGAATGGATTCACACGAAATCTCCTTTAATATGGAAAGAAATTGGACTTAGTCGAACTCACATAAGTTATATTGGAGGCAGTTTTCAGTTTTGGGAATTGTTGCATAAGTATTATAACATTAGTTCGTATTTAAATAAAGAAGAACTTGATGCATTACAAGCAGACTTAATATTTGTATGATAATGTTTGGAAAATTTCTATGCTACATAGAATATTACAATTTAATTTTTCTAACTTAAATTTGTTTAATAAAGGCCCACAATATAAAAAGTCAAAGAAGTAAGCCTTCACAAGAAAAACATCGCGTAATAATGATAATAGGAGCAGGGAGATCAATGTGCTTCGATCTTGTTCCTCAATTGTTAATGACAAAAGAGCTCTGGTTAACTCAGGGAATTGTTATTAATTTGTATGACGAACCAGGATGTTTCTTTAAACTTAAAAAAATTTTTAAAGACGCAGGAACAATAGGCGCTGGTTTAAATACAGTAAATATTGTAGAAAGTATCCCCGATGGATTAAAAGACTGTGACATATTAATTTACCTTGATAGTTTAGTACGGTAAGTTTAATGATATTGTTTGTATTTATTATTATATTTATTAATGTCTGTATATGCGTCTTTCAGAGAAGAATATGAAGGGACAGATAATTGGTTACAACGTAATTATAAAACTATAGCAAAATTATGTACACAAATAAATGAATATGCACCCACGCATATGAAAGTAATTTTCTGTTCAAGGTGTCTTCCATGTTTTTATGCCAATATTATGTTGGAACTTGTTACAAAATTATCAAGCACAAACATTGTAGTTGCTAGTGCCCATTATGGTTTAGAACTTATATATACATTTGTAAATTTGCTTGGCCTTACTCAACAAAATTTTGGCTGTCCACCTGTTTGGGGATTTTTGGGTTAGTTTAGAAAGAAGAAAACTATATTTTCATATATATATATATATATATACACACACTAAAGAATTAAATTTGATTACAGGAATCAATCACTTTGTCGATGTTTACCATATGATTCAAAAGTATCATGTATATTATCCAAATAAGAGAGCTTTAAATTTAAATGAGAATGTGACACTATCACTTGGAACTCAACATTCCGAATTAAGGTGGTTTTTTTATATGGCACATGATAAAAATCCTTATAAAAATTACTTTATACGCAAGGTACATACTTTGTTGCTCTTTTTTAAATAACATGAAATAGCGAGATTTCCTTTAGGCCCTCCTTCGGTATCAAATGGGCAGATCCGAAGATTTTTCAAAATGTAGAGCAATTTGTGATCTTCTAAAATTATGGTACAGTACGAAAGAAAGTATTGGGGATGAAATTATATCATTGGGAATTGCATCTGATGGTAGTACAAAAATATATGTAAAATTGTATAGAGGAAATTGAAACTAATATAAATTTTTCAGGTTCATTTGGTATCCCAAAAGGATTAGTATTTTCACAACCAGTTTATTTAAAAGAACGTGATGATGGTTTGCGAATATGGGTACCTTTCAAAGATTTTCCAATGCCAAACATGCCAATTTCTATATTTCAAAGTCTTATAGACACTGCTATTTACATTCAGAAAAAAATAACTGAATTCAAAAACAGTTTTGATGCATCAAAAAAATCAAATTTTCAAATTATATAACTATGATTTTAATGCTTTATATTCACTAAACAAATCTATATTTATTTTTAATCACAAAATCATAATTTTATTGTATCAATTAACATACATAAATAGCAGTAAATTATACAAATTTGACGTATAGAATCAAATTAATTGTTATAATATACATTTATAACCAATAAAATTGCACATTTTTTTTTACAATTAATGTTTGACACCAGATTAATTCAAATAAAAAATATTTGTGTTTATGACTTGAAATAAACGACAATAAAATATTAAAACTAAACTTAATAAATACAAATATCTTTACAGTGTTATTAATGAATTATAAGAGTAGTAAAGTTTCTTAAGATAGATTTATTACCTAGTAAATACAGTTGAATAAATTAGCTAAGAAAAGTAGCCATTGATCGCTTAAAAAAGATCTCTGCATTTTATTGCGACACTCTTCATGAAAAGATAATTTTAGGAATAATACTTTTCGCCATGCGTAGTAATATACTTAAATTTAATGTTACAATTTTCTTGTATACAGAAAATGATATAACAAACTGTTATAACTTAAATCTATCGTTAACAACTGGTAATCTATACCATTTTATACCTAATCGACAGTTTTTTATACAGGATGTTGTATGTCACAATGGTAGACAAATGGATAATGCATTTTGTATTATCGCGTGACTGTTTTGTCCTTGCTATTTAAATTATGTGTACAATTCAATTATATACCTTTTCGAAAGTATTTAACACTCATTACGAAAGGAATGAAAATGCGTAAAAAAAAAAAAAATTCTATTAAATTATACAATTTCATATATGCATTCTAGTAGGAAACGATATATCAAAGATTTCAAAACCAAGAAATAAAAATACTAAAAAGAGCCAGGGAACTTGAAGAAAATATGTTCAGAAACAATTCTTTGTATAATTTCTTTTTGTCTGTTGCGAATTGATAAAAAGTATTGTGCTATAAATTTTACAATTGTTTGTTTTTTACACCGACGATCCTCAATTCTCATAAGTAAAAAATGAGTGTTCAGATTGCACACCATTATAATAGATATAGTAAAAATTGCATTCTGACACAAAAAATCTCTGATAATTTCAAAATTATGCTACAAAATTGATGAACATGACGTATGATAAATTTTTTAGGCAGTTTTTGCTCGAATAGCAGCACGCTTTCCTGTGACAGCCTAAAATGAATAATCAGTCATTAAAATACACGTTAAAAGAGGTAATACCAAGATAATTACTAATATTAAAAATAAAAGTAATTACCTGGAAACCAGATTTTATACTAGCTACAGAACATCTTGAGCCACAAGTTTCACACTGTAAGAAAAATAGTCGAGTATCTTTTTGAAGAATAGTGTCCGGAGAACGACAAGTGTGGCAGGTAACATATTCTTTAATGTATCTCCTAAGAACATTTTCTATTTGTTTCTGTTGGAAACGACCCTTAATAATAAGTTGACTATTTCCATCAACAGAACCGCTAGTTCCTAATTCAGCAAGTAAAAAGTCGAGTAAATGTTTTGGTTGCCTATGAAGTGTTTTGCATATCTACAATTAAAAAGTTGTAACATAAGTAATAGTGAAAGGATTTGCAGTTTAATAAATGAAATAAACAAATAATATTATAAAACTGACTTCTGTGAAATTAGCAAACGATGTCTTTTTGGTGCCTATGCGCACTACTTGAGGAGGACGCATGACGAATTTCTGCTTTTTACCAGCAACCATATCAGGATTCTTTTCTCTCATAATATTAAATACTCTTACCAGCAATTCATCATATGTATAATCCCTATCAGATCCAACCCAACTTGTCTCTTCTATTAATAAATATAGTTGTTATATAGTATTCGTTTAATATGTGATTGTGAATATTGTGGTAAATAAATTTATGTCTAATTTCATTGATTATAGACTGTGAAAATTTACTTGTAAATTAAATTTATTTCAATTTATGTTTGTTTATTTCATTTACTATTAATGAAATTAGACATATGTATGTAAGAAGTATGAACTGTTGAATACTTGAACAATAGCAGTTGCATTCAGTTTTTAAAGAAAGAAAAAAATGTTACTTTAACAAACATAATTAACTTTGACATTTAGAAAAGTAATGTTCTCACAACTGAATGAAACTACCAAAATATTAGTTTGAGAGAAAACAAGTTGCAGACACGATTCCTTGGGCACTTTGTTTCCTGTTATTTGCAATGTTTATAGAAATATTTTTATCCAATATCATTCAATATACAATATAAAATATTCAATGTACATTAAAAATTTCCTTTTTAAATTGACTGTCGACTTTCAGAGAATATAAACAAAAATCATGGTTATATTTAACATTGAAATGAGATTTAAAGTGCGAATATGATGTATGTACTTGTGATTATATGTAATATATATAGAAAAACAGCAAACATATCCCTTACCGTACTCTGCACTTCGCTCAGATTCAGTGCAGCATGTTAACAAATAATGAGTAACATGAACAACTAGTTACCCCAAGCTATGACATTCTTATAATATGTAATATTTACCATTTTCTTTATCTTCAATTTCCTTACGTTCTTCCTCGGCTACTAATTCATCAAGATCTTTTTTTTTCTTTTTTTTCTTCTTAGTTTTTGAGAAGTCCATATCTAAGTCAAAGGTATCGTCCACAACAATTTCTTCTGTTTGTTGCTCAACAACATCCTTTTGAAATTATAATGGAATAAAAATAATTATACTACACATGCAATGATAATTGAAATGAATAGGCGACTGTAGAAACTTAGCCACCTCTTTCTTTGTATCAGGTAGTGCTGCATCAAGTTCATCTAAATTAAATGCTTTTTTCTTCTTTTTCTTTTTCCTTCCGAAATTTTCTAAATCTAATGCTTCATCATCTTCGGCAGGCGCAGGAGGCTCTGGTTCTTGGTTCTCTTTGTCACCACTAGTTTCCATTGCATCTCCTATACTACCACCTTCATTAAACGCAGCATCAAGATCAAAAGTGGTTTTCTTTTTCTTTTTCTTCTTCTTTAAAGTGGGATCGAATACCTAAATATTTTTAAATTATTAAATTACATCTACAAATATTTCTCATATTTACGTATCTTATTTGTAAAACATTATATTTTTATTAATGCAAATATCGTTGTTAATTATTCTATATGAAAATGCATTTTCATTTAAATATTTGCTAGAATCCAAATATATCAAACATACTTTGATGTATTTTATTTTTCTTAAATATTACAATAATTTAGAAATATATGACCGTCGAATATTATACTATATTGCATCAGAAACATCAAACATATTATCGTAATAAAGCTAACGAATTATCTGTCGAAAGATATTACACTGACGACAAATGTAAATTCTTTGGAGTGATAACCACATGGTTTTGAGGTTGGAATCTAGAAAGTAGCATTATTTTTGCTTTGCGCAAATTTCATTGCAAAATCTTCACGCACAATGGCAGTAAATTTCAGTTTCTTGTTCATAAGTGTTAACGCATTATCGAAAAACGAGAAAGTATGTCAAGATACTCGTGCTCCCATGCTTTCCCGACACGACACCAATTCATTTTCAACGATATTTTTTTCCCCAATATGATTACATACCGAGTCTTCCTCAGTCATTTTGAAAATTATTCTAAATACTCTGACGTTCTCGACAAAAACTTTTCAATTTCCTTGGTTCTTAAATACAGATCATCATGTTAATCACGCGGGCCTCAATCCTTTCCTACTACTTATATAGTACATTCACGTCTTGCTAACGAATATTGCATCAGAAACTCGACGTTTAAGCCTAAAGTGTGATTCACACGTCCGAGTAAAGTTCGAACTATCAAATTTATCATGCGTTTTTTGACGAGCTTTTCTATTGGTTGAATTCACAGTACTGATGAAAAAGAACCAATGAGAAAGAACAATCGAAGATAGAATTTCATAGACGACATATCATTACGCTGTTACACTGGCTTGTAATTTCTCAATTACTCTTTCAATTACTCTTAGTTATTCTGCCGGAAAATGATGCTGATTTCTTTGAATTTTTTATTAGTTAATTTGTAATAATAATAACTTTCTATTGTTCGTAGGATAATACTCGCAGGGAACGAATTTTAGTATAATCTGTTTTATAGAGCAAGTTAGATAATAGATAAAATAAATCAAAGTTTTTACTCGCGAAGACAATATAAATTTTGTACATATAAAAAAAACCTACATATATATATTATCGGTAGCTTGTACTAGTATCGAACTGAGGATACATATATATATATAGATATATACACATATTATAGATCTACATATGTATATACATTCAATGTCTCATTATTTAATCCCACAATGTTGAAGGGAACGTTTCGTTGCAACGATAAGTCAAGGAAATATCATTCTTGTATAAACAAAATATCATATCGAGTCTCGATTGTCAACACATTCAAGGAAAATTAATATGATCGACGTCAAAAGCGGAAAGAGGAAAGTTCAATGTGAAAGGTTGCTCGTGCCTAAAACAATTTTTTCCACTTCACTAATAAAGAAATAGTGATGCGAGAAGTTTCGTATCAGCAATAGAACAGAGTAGTGATGTTGTAGTGGAAAATGTGTTTCACGTTATAACTTGCATGTCAATCGCCTAAATAACCAGAAGTACGTATTACATCGTAATCTTAATGTTTCTCAGTAATTTTTGTCACCACTGAATTTGTTTTTATAATGTATGTATTTTATATATATTACGTATTATATATTTACATATATCGTGTTACTTGTATATTCCAAAATAAGTACATATTGATGAATGATATTGGTGGTTTGCAAGTATTACTGCAATGCGAATTTTCTTATAGAAATAAATCAGCTGAGTTGCTTTAAAACCATAGATAAGGAGAAAACTATAGACAAGCGTATGATTTCACTGTTTATGTTCTTCTGTGACTGTGTTAGAAATTCTCAATAATTTCCTTTCAATTCTTTACGCGAATTATTGTTTCGCAATAATATCAACACAGTGAAGTAATGTAATTACTGAAAATAATAATTTTTTTTTTTAGTTTAGATCTAATATTGGTAAATAATAATAACAGTAAAATATTCAGTGCATTCGTTTAACTTCGTTGATTTTTTCTAGAATGGAAGAAATTTTTCTGGGGCGAGATTTCATCTACAAATCGCCAGCGTGATTTTTTTTCGATTGACAGCTACAGGGCTCAATGTTAATGAATCAATATTCCAAATTTTGAAATATCAGTAAGACTATCGTTGTTCGAAAAATTAAAAATTTTCTAAAATCTTAGCTTATCTAAATTATTTTGTGAAACTTCTCTTCCATCGCTCGTATTTGTATGAAAAATATTAAATATTAATATAATTAAATTAAAAATATAAATAAAATATTTGTAAAATTATAATTCATATATTTAATAGGTTTCTATGTTAGTACAGAAGTATGCATGTTTCATTCTTTATACGTTTGTTTTCAACGTGCATTAATGCACGCATGGATATACAGGATCGATAATTCACGCGCAATAACTAGTAATTTGAAAATACTTTGCATTTTGTATACATACAGGGTGTCTTTAATTTAAAAACTTGTCGAGGCAAGTTAATTTAAAAACTAATCTGCGAAGGCTTAATCTACATGTAAAAAGAAGAAGAAATGTTTGTCAGGAAACACCTTGTTACAGAATTATAAGCAAATATTGCATATATGAAACAGGTAGCTACGCATTTTTCTTTATCATTTGATTTTTATTTAAGTAACTTCGCATGACGAACTAGCGCAAAGAGTTAAAAATGTAATTTCATTGAAACTCAGCAAAATTCTCAGGAACTGGTTATAAGTGTTATCAATTCTGTCATTCATCGATATCAAGCTACAGGAATTAAAAATTATCATTATGTCGTATTATTGTAATTAACGATACGTAATTGCCAGCACATGAGAAAAATATATATTCTTATAAATGCGTCGCTATTTACATATTTCACGTATACAATATTTGTTCAGAAATTCATAGCAAATTGGTGTTAAATTTTATATATTTTTCTCTTCTTTTCACGTGTTGATTAAGCAATTAAGCCAATTTGGCCGTTTAAGTTCGGGACATCCTGTATATGAAGATAGCGCTATTACAATCTTCTATGATATCTTTCTAACTGTAATCCTCGTGAAAAAAGGCAAAACAGATTAGATGAAACAATAATCTGAAATTATTCGTGCCAATGTCGTTTTTTTTTAATTCAATTTGTCAAGGATAATTTTCTCACGGAAAATGTCAGGATCGGTAAAAAGGGGGCGTACGTGCATTGAGAATTATTTAGACAGCATTATCTGCAGCGAATAAATTCGTAAACACGTATTTTGACGAGTGAAACTTTTGAAAATGGCAGTGTTACGATTTTTTTTTGAACAACCCAATGTTTCTGATAATAGTAATATATTATAATAGTAATATAGTAATAGTCATACTATTGAAAGTGTAACTTACAAAATCGCGTAAATATCATCGCTGTGAAATTGCAATGATGAATGTGTACAATTATAATCTTCACGCGTGTGTCGTCATTGCATGCGTGACGACAAATGATCGTGAATGTTTATCTGTTTCTATATAACTCTTAAGAACAGAGGAGACATTTAGTCGGCTTGTTCTCGCGTAGTTCAAAATACATAGATATTTGAATTGTGTCGCGGTTTTGATTGATTCGAAAAATCGTAGAGTTTTTCGTACTTATGATTAGTTGGTATTATTCAATTTAATCAAGGCATAGTTTTGTTTTACCAAAACAATTTTTATTGTGCGCGAATAATCGAGAAGAGAACATCAGTCAATGCGCGATTCGTATTTTTACTTCTGCTTTACGACGTAAGTGCATCTTCGTTTAAAGTTAATCTACAATACATGTAAATTTTATGATTTTCATAAATTGTCTTATGCCGTTTTTATTAATAATATTTAATAATTATCATTAATATGTTAATAATAATTATTAATAAAATCGTGCAAAACAATGATAATTCAAATTCAAATTCAGATCAATTACGCAGCATTTAAATCTTATTCCTACTGTGCAGCAATATACTATTGTTGCTTGATTATTATATTAATAACGTTTATCATTGCAATGAAAAAAAAAAAAAAAAAAAAAGAGTGACATATTAACATCCAGGTTCATATCTCGAATTCGCGTTTTCCTTTTTCGCGAATTATTTGTGAAATTGTATAAGCGTATAAAAAAAAAAGAAAACTCTTTCTAGAAAAATGTCCACGCGCAAAGGGATTTCAACATCGTGCGAGAATGGCCTCGATGTCTCCGACAGTGTGAAAAAAGTGGGCGGCAATGAAAAAGAGGAATTAACAATGAAAAGGCCAAAGTGTCGACTCGACGTGAACGGTCGGCTAAATTTGAAAGACATTTTACTATCTTTCAATGGACCGGTTAATCAAGAGCAAGCATGGGCTTTGTGCTATCAGACCGCCAAGAGTTTGTCACGCTTATCAGAGAACAATTTCTACGAAATCACGGAGTTATCGCAGATCGTCCTTCACAAGGATGGCGATGTTTGGCTTGGCGATCTAATCGGTAAGAGTTGACTTGATCTCTCCCCTCTCTCCTTCTGTTTTTTTTTTTTTTTTTTTTTTTTTTTTTTTTTAA